GGAATGCAGGATTTCAATTACCTCAGCAGCAACTGCTTTGAAATCACAGTGGAGCTTAGCTGTGAAAAATTCCCACCTGAAGAAACTCTGAAGGGCTACTGGGAGGACAACAAGAACTCCCTTATCAATTACATTGAGCAGGTAACAAAGGATGGCAAAATCTAGTTATTATAAACAGAACTTCTAAACTTTGTGCTGTGAGAACATCTAATTCAAATTTTAATATTAGTCCAGTTGGTGCTCCATAATTCTTGTATGGCTCTAAGGTCATAAACCCTGTGCGACCTTTCTAAAGAGGTGGAAGAAGAGGAGAATAGAAAGAAGATGGTCTAGTATGGAATTCACCTCACCTTACTTAAGCTGTTATAGACATTTAATTTAAATTATTTGTGTTGGATTCCCTAGTGAAAAGAAATAGACATAATCAGAGTGTGTACTTCATTCCTCAGCACTGATGTGTAGACACAGAAATGAATTGCCCTCTGCAGATAGGCAAGTGTATGTACAGACATGGGATGAATCATTCTGTATGTGCAGAGAGCCTACATGGCTGGATTAGACTATAGCTGCCTGATAGTTCAGTGTAATGTTGGGGGACATCTGTAATCCTGGTTACATGAGCTGCTGATACTCAGGGTAGTGCTGCTAGTGTGATGATTCTGTTAAACATTATACAAAATCTGGTTAGAATTGTATAGTCACAGGTTTAGATCACAGAATGATAAGGGTTGGAAGGGACATCTGGATATTGTCCAGTCCAAGTCCTCTGCTAAAGCAGGTTCACCTAAAGCAGGTTGCCCAGGACGTCATCCAAGATATCTCCAGAGAAGGAGAATCCACAGTCTCTCTAGGCAGTCTCTTCCATTGATCTCTCAGCCTCAAAGTAAAGTTTTTCCTTATACCTAGGTGGAACTTCCTCTGTTTGAGTTTGTGCCCATTGTCCCTTGTCCTGTTGCTGGGTACAACTGAAAAGAGTCTGGTCCCATCCTCTTGATCCCTGCTGTTTAGATATTTATAAACACTGATAAGATTCCCTCTCAGTCTTCTCTTCTTTAGGCTAAAGAGACCCCCATCTCTCAGCCTTCCCTTGTGTTTCAGTCCCCTAGACATCTTTGTAGCCCTTTGTTGGACTATTCCTGGTAATTCTCCATCTCTCTTGAACTGGGTGTAATGTTCTGCTTTCCAGCAGGTCAACCCCTAACCTGTACTGGTGCATGGGTTTATTCCTCCCTAGGCACAGGACCCTACACTTGCCTTTGTTAAACTTCATTTGGTTCCTCTCCACCCAACTCTCCAGCCTGCCCAGGTCTTGCTGAATGGCAGCACAGACTTCTGGTGTGTCAGCCACTCCTCTGAGTTATGTATCATCAGGAAACTTGCTGAGGAGTATACTGTGTCCCTTCATCCAGGTCACTGATGTGTATGTTGAACAGGACTGGACCTAGTACTGATCGCTGGGTAACTCCACTAACCACAAGTCTCCATCTGGATGCTGTACCACTGACAACAATCCTCTGAGCTCTCTCCTTCAGACAGTTCTCAATCCACCTCACTGTACACTCACTCACCTAACCCACACTTCCTGAGCTTGCCTGTGAGAGTAAGCTATGGAGGACATTCACCTTGGTGAATCCATGTTGACCACTCCCGATCATCTGGTGCTAATGGGTTGTTAGAATTTAAGACTCTTGAAACAGATCATAGAATCATAGAATGTCTGGGCTGGAAGGGACCTCCGAAGGTCATCTAGACCAACCCCCATGCTATAAGCAGGGACATCTCCAACTAGATCAAGCTACTCAGAGCTTCATCCAACCTTATCTTGAATGTCCCCAGGGATGGGGCCTCCACCACCTCTCTGGGCAACCTATTCCAGGGATCTATCACCTTGATACTGAAGAACTTTTTCCTAATGTCTAACCAAACTCTGCCCTTCTGTAGCTTAAAGCCATTACCCCTCATCCTGTCACTCCAAACCCTTGTGAACAGACCCTGCCCTGCTGTCCTGTAGGCCCCTCTCAGG